TGATTGTAAAGAATTTTTATAAGCATCTCACACAGATTTCTTTTTTAATATTAAATTTAAACATCAAAGTTCTATTATGATTCTATTATAATCTATATTAAATAACTAATTTTAAAACATTATTATAAAATAGATATTATATAACAAAAAGGGTGTGGTGACTTAGTGAAGTTGGCAAGTTGTCGCACCCCCAAATGGCAGGATCAGAGTTCAAATCACATTGGCAATGAAAATTCGAATTTACAAAAAATGCATTTGGAAAGACTATATCTTATTAGGTTATAGAACCTGTAACAGGATCACACCTGCTTGTATTAGGAGGTAGTAGAACATGTAGTGTGACGTATAAATTATACAAAATCTGAGTGAAGCTACTGAATAAATCCAGCAGATTGACAGAATATTGGAGTCCACTTGGCAAGACCCAAGTGGAGAAGTAGCACAGATCTTCAATAGTTACTATGTGTAGGATAACTAGCCAGATACCAGAAAATTGAACAGGATCAAGATGTTTGGCAAGAGACTATATCAACCAGGTTGACAGATAACTGGAGGAAGGGTTTCGCCTTTTCGGGCTATTGGATTGGGAGTTTGGGTTTCTGAAGGTATGGGAGGGAGTCTGTAAAGTAGGTACCGGGGCCTGGGTAAACTCTGTAAAAGCAGTAGTAAATAACTGTAGCAGCCTCAGCTCGCAAATACTTGTTCTTAGACTCGGCATAAGTTATGAAAAGCCTAGTCTGAAAATGTATAGGACATAGAAAGATTAGGGGAGTATATACTACATCCTCTCTAGGGCAACTTGGTAGTACAAAAACCTTGCTGGGTTATCTATAGAATTAGAGTACAAGTAGTTTAGTACATGTTGATCTGGGTGGTCTTCAATGAAAGCAGCACAAGGTTATGGGCTGGTGTAATTATAGTGATGGTACAGGAGGGGTAACCTAAATATATTATTAAATACCTAATAAAAATTCGCCTATTCGTAACATTGTGAAAGTAAAAAAAATATATATATATTATATAGCATTCAGAGTCATTTCTAATCAAACACCTCTTTCCAATGATCCTCTGATCAACAACAATAAAAACTGAATTACAGTAAAATGTATAGAAAAGCAACAAAGTAGATACTAAACTTGGTTCTATAAATAGAAACAGCTTGTTGTTGATGAAGTCTAAACGTCTAGATATGATACATTGAAGAGCAGGCGTCAGAAGAACAGACAGTTTTTTTTGAGATCAAGTTTTTCTTCTTTAACGGATTCTCTAAGATATTTGACATCCAAATCAGAAAAGTTATTCTAGAAACAAGTCTGTAAAAGTAGCTAATGTGCACTTCTAAGTTGATAAAAATGAAGCTAGACTATACAACTGTAAAACTTACAAAAAAAACCTCATATACTCTTATTGGTCCACCACTTTTTTTCAAGGAAATTTTTATAAAAGTGGGTGTTTTAGCTTATTCTCTCCAAATAATTGATATAATATGTATCAAACAAGTTAGTATTGTTTATCCCCTAAATCAAAATATGACAAAAAACACGTATATATATGTGCTTCGAATGCAATGAATATCTGTACAAATGATATTCTGAGACTCTGTTCTGACCTCTCTATCTTAAATTGATTAATAAAGTTTTTTCTATTGGGTTTACTTTTACATACTAGTTTAGAGAAAAATAGAAGTAGAGACTAATTTATCTAATTAGTATATAATTTTTCCAAGCCACCCACAGACTTATAATAGTAACATTAGAATAAGCAAAATTGTTTTTTGTTTTTTGTTTTTTTTTTCAATCTCTTTATTCCCTTTTCTTTCATGTTTATATATTTTTATTGTAGCTCTCTATACTTCTGTGTTTTTTTTTAGTTCATTTTATATTTTTTTTTATTTTGCTTCTTGATACAACAGGTAACTACTAGCCAATAAACAATGGAAAAAAAGTTCTTAGTGAATTAAGAACCCTGAGAGAGGCCAAGAACTACTGAGGCAGATCACACCTAATATAAAAATCATATGAATGAGTTTTATTTTAATTGTACCTCTATAATCATTAGATAAAGTTATTATAATTTTTGAAGGACTGGTACTATAATAAATAAGGCAGAACAACCAAATTAAAAAAAAAATATAAAATTAAATACAATATACAGATCATTTTTTGTACAATAAAAATAAAAAAAAAATGAAAAATTAGTAATATCTTAAAATTTTAATTATGAAACCATCTTTTGGATTCTAAGAAAAAAAGTTTCTTGAAAATTTTACTATAAACTATATCTTCACTAACTCTAACCTCTAACTTTAACTCTAATATTAATTAAAAGTATTAAACGTATTATACTGTATTTTAATAAAAATTAATTGTAGATCATACCTGTGTTTTCAAACACCCCATGTACGATTAATTTTTTTCTTTTTATTATAATTTTTATTATAATTTATCACTCTGTGTGACATCTTCCCTGACTGATAAGTAAACTATCAATTAAACAATTTTATCGATTATCACGTGATCGACAAAAATTTGTTGGGAAGATTTCAGGATAAGGTGTAACGTAGGTGTAACGTAAAAATCGAAACGAAACCATTTTTTACAAAAAAAAAACAAAATTTTAATTAAGAAATCACCTTCTGCGGCCTAATTAAAAATGTTCCTCGTGATGTTTTACTAATAAGCGCTATATTTTTCTAATCCTAACCCTAATTATAACACGGTTTTCTTGGGTTTCATTTTACGCGTTACTTACAGTAGAAAAACAAAACACGTTTGTTTTGACACCTGATCTTAAATTTTTGATTGGTCAAAATTACGCTACCTAAAATTAATCTCATAATAAATTTTGAATTAGAGGATAGAAATGGAATAATCAAAATTAGTACAAAAAAATTGCGGATCAACCTTTTTTTAGCACATTGAAGTTTTGTTACACCTGATCTAAAAATTTGATTGGCTGCTGAAATGTTTTAGGGTAACGACACTAGAGCAGTTAAAAACTCCCAGCGCATGGCAGCACAAAACTTGTTCAACTGTGTAAACGAATTTCGACAAAAATTTCTTTGCTTTCTTTTAACAAATGATAAAAATGTCAACTTATTTACCACAATCCTCTGGCTATTTACCATATTGGATTTTATTTGTCTCCATTTTAGCTATTTTTAATACAATTCAAAATTTTATAACACTTTCACTTACAAAGCAAGTCTATAATGCGAAGCCCGAACAAGGTATACTGTAAATATCGATTTTAGGCAAAATATAATTTCTAAAAGCCAATCTTCTTAAATTATGTTAGTGACCGAATTATCATCACGTCTTTTTGCCACTTGGACATTTACATCAGCTGTTATACGTTTTTATGCATCATACAATATTAATAATAAAGCGTATGTACGAAACTCACTTATTGTATACAATAATTATAATAATTATTAAATTATATCTTTCAATAGGATTTATCAAATAGCACTTTGGTCATATGTGATCGCTTTCTTTCATTTTGCATCTGAATTTCTTTATTTTAAAAGTGCAAAGGTTGGACCTGGACCATTGTCACCGATAATTGTATCCGGTAATTTTAAACATTTTATTTATGTTATGTGTCAAATGGAATGGGTGTTGATTTAAAACTGAGTTGCGTCAGACTTACATACAGTATCCCAAGAAACTTCATTTTTAAAATTTGCTTTATGTATGATATTATTCTCGGGGGATACTGCGTGCAGTGGCAAACGGTAACTGACTTGCGTCTATTTATTCAAATAATCGCGCTACCCATATAATGCGCGCATTTCCACTGTAGTATCCAATGTCAACATTTGTTATTTTCTGTACTTCTCTGGCAGATAGTACCATTAGGATATGATTCAGTTCCGGATACTTTTTACACTCAATAATTCCAATTTCAATTCATCCATGCAACAGGACAATAATCAAATTTATTTTCAGTAATAGTGTATTATTCGTGGATGAAAAAAAAGATTTTCATTTTTTTTCTTGGTCACGATTCAATGTATTGGTTCCAAACTTTTATCAATTCATCAAAGGCTTACTGTGAAATAAGTGAATATTCCATAATTGTTTGATTGGACACGAAATACACAAATCTGACGCATCTCAGAATCAATTTTAAATCTGTACCTTTCAAATTTGACTTATGAAATTTATAACTCTTATTTACATCTAACATATTTCTCTAACGTTACATCCTTAAAGTAATCTCTTTGACGTGGATGATCAGCCAATACAATTATTATGTCAAGAAAGAAAAGAAAAAAAAGTAGGCATACACAATTGAACCTCCCTAAATGTATGGTCTCTAAATGCACGGATCTGCTTTTTTTCCAACTCATATGGCACTTATAAACTTCTGTCTCCATAAATGTAATACCTCTCTAAATGAAAGGTTTGCTAATTTTTTCATATAAATCTTCAGCATCGCATTTGGGGAGGTTTAACTGTATTTCATTTGTTCTCCTTTGTATAATATATTTATAATATTTAGTATAGTTTACCCGATCGAAATACTTGATCCCATTTGCGAGTAATATACTAAATAAAATGTTATAAAGTATATATATGTTAATAAAGTTCGAAATGATATATATTTATATATATTAAATAAATTTTTAAGCAATTACCTCTCCAAAGGATACATCCGTTAACTCTTCCTTATCATTCTCATGTGTTTTGGATTTGTCTGTTTGATCCTTAAATATACTTAATTCGTTTGAGCTTTGTGCAATCAATGGAATTTTTGAATCATAACTTGGGTAGTAAAAGAAAACAGTGGAATATCGTTCGTTTTTTCCATCATTTATAACACGGTGCAACGGTGAAATATATTTCCCACGTGTAAGAAGAGAAAGATAGTCCCCACAATTAACGACTATTGTTGCCGGTTTACTAGGAATGTCCCACCATTGACCATCATAGAATAACTGGAGGCCTTGAATATTTTCTTGTTGCAACACCAATGTTAAGAAGCCCCAATCTTTTTCAAAGAAAATAATTACTTAGACTTCCATAAAAGAAACAAATCAAGAGTATGTCAATGTTAAACCAACCAGTGTGTGGTGAACTTCCAATATTTTCTGTCTTGTTATCTCCTTCATTGTTATATGGATAATATTTAAATAATCTCATGATTGAGATGGTTTCTCCCCCCACACAGTGGTCTTTTAATTCAACACCAAGTGCCATTTCTAAGCTTTTTACCACTAACTCTGCAATGGCTACTATCTTATCATAATATTTATTTAAAGAATTACGCCATTGTTCACCTAGAATTTTTTCTAAATCACCCCATTCGTTTCGTCCCTGTAATGAATTTGTAGGTTGTTCATTAGGATTCCACTCATATCCATATGAAAATGCTTCTTTAACTTCAAATCGATGAGAGCCTGATTCATGTCCCAGCCCTATATATCCTCGTGTAAAACCTCCAGGTTTAATAGGAATTGCGTTCTTTTTTTCTTCAGGTAGTGAAAAAAACTGACGAGAAGATTCAAATATATTATTTTGATCGCAAAGTTGAAAAGATGATGTGGTTACATAGAAAACTCCAAAACGTGCACAAGCTATATTAATATCATCGGCAATTTTCGTTAATTCTTTACTTTGACTTAAATGATTATCTTCTAAAGGTGAAAGATCAATTATTGGAAGTTCAATCGGTTGAAACTCCATATTTTTAACCCAATTTTTTTTTATTTTTTAAATAATCTTTTATATATTTTATTATAGAATTTCGACCCGGTTTGGTATAATAGACCCCCTTTATATAACAAAAAATGTATTTATAATAATGTTTGTGAAATCTATATACCTGTATATGCATCAACTTAGATGTGAATTAAAATTAGTTTAGTCCAAAAAAGGTAAATATCGTTCTAGAAGTTTCATTCTGCGGCATAGTGATACAGCAACATCAGATGACCTACGTAGGTTGCGTAATTATCTACACATAATAGCAATAGAAACTCTATAAACTTCTTTGTTAATTTAAATCCTTTCTGAATTTTATTTTCAAATCTTTTTTTAAACTTCATTTCGAATCCTTTAAATATGTTTTCAAACGCAAACGCTTTCGATGAGTGTGTCAGTACGTATATTATGTTTATTCGATTACTGGTCATTTACTGTGAATCTTACAGTTTAAAAATTAACTTGATTTGCAATTAGTCGCTGCGACCGACGAGAAGCTCACTAAAGAGGACTGGTCGTTGATGAGTGTTGTATGCGAGAAAGTATATAAGGCTGGTGACCAAGGGTATTAACATTTTTGTTGAGCTTGAAAAACCTTTTTTGATTTTCTTTGATTCAGTCTCCAAAGAAAAGCTGCAATATATCATTAATTTTAAACAATAGCGCTCGAGATTGTATCGTATCCATCCAAAAACGATTAATTCATCGAAATGCCAATGTTCAACTATATGCTTTAACAGTAAGTTTAGATCTTTTTTTTATGAACTTATTTTTTAACAATTTTTTGTAATAGTATCTGATCCATATATTCTTTTTTTAAAAAAAATAGTTAACCAATACTCTTGTTAAAGAATGTGGGATCAGCATTCATAAGGAAGTCTGTTCACGCACGTTTACGTCAACACTAACAAAGATTTTAAATGATAGGGTTGGTATTTTAAATCAATTGATAAGTTTTGATGCTATAGTTTTATCAATTACCATTTATATATATGCATACATATATATATATATTTAACAAAAAAAAAAAAAAAAAAAAAAACACTAGAATACCCACGATTTAGTAAAGAACAGAACACTTGACCTGATTCAAGAATGGAGTTCTGAATTTCGTTCAAACCCAGCGTTAAGTATTATGGACGAAACTTATAGGCAATTGCGATCGCAAAGTAAGAACTACCAACGGTTTCAATTATAACTTTATGATAGTGAAGAATTGAATGTTACTAATATCCTGATTTATGTATTTGTCAGATTTCCAATTTCCACCTCAGAAACCTCAAAAAGAACCAAGTGAAGTAAGTTATTGTTATCTTATACAAATTACGAAATGCTTTGTACCATTAGACTTACGATTTGTATGTTGATAGATTGAAGCCGATAAGCGAAGAAGAAAAGAAGAAGAAGACCTCAAAACAGCGCTGAGACTTTCAATGGCAGAAAGTACAGACAGAAAGCCCACTCAATCGGTAGGAAATTAATTTTAAAATTGGTATATTAAATCCAAAAATTCATATAAATTAACACCTCAACCTAAACCTAAAGGGAAAATCTCTGTACTCTTTAAATTCGAGTACCCAGGTTTGGAAACAATTTTGTTTTCATATCATATTACCATATATTGTATTAAATACCTAATTTTATTTTATTTTATTTTATTTTATTCCAATTAAATTTGACTATTTCAGGACAAAGGTCTTCCTCAACCACCTAGCGTTTCACGGGTTAGAGCATTATATGACTTTCGTCCGACCGAGAGTAATGAACTCGGATTCTCCTGTGGAGATATTATTAATGTTATAGATAATGTCTATAAGGATTGGTGGAAAGGAGAGCTACGTGGCAAAACTGGTATTTTCCCGGTGAATTATGTGGTAAGTGACTATCTAATATAATTTGAAACTAAATAACAAACCATCTAACAAGATTTAACAAGATTTAATTGAATATTTAGGAAAAAATAACTGAGCCATCACCAGTAGATATTGCGAAAGAACTCGAAATGGAAGTAAATGTTTTTTCACAGGGTAAAAACATTGAACGTCTTCTAGAGCTGCTCGAATCGTTTGATGCACAAAAGGATAGTGTCACGACAAATGAAGATATTCAGGTTATTTCTTTATCTTAATACCATATCTTTTGTTAAAGCAATTAGATACATGTATTAACTATAATCTAACATGTATTAACTTTCATCTATATTATTCTCATACGTAGAATTTGTATAATGAAACCGTACCAATCAGACCTAAATTGGCAATACTGGTTGAGAAGTATACCAAAAAGAAAGGTATAATATTAAAAAATATTTGTGAACCATGAGTTTTTTAATACATTGTTAAAATGTATATCTTAATTTCCTTCTAGATTATTTAATTGAACTGCACACAAAATTCACCAAAGCAATTAGTACTTATGAACAGCTCATGAATGATTCATTTTCAAAATACAGTAAGTAAATTTTATGTTGTGTGAGCTTAAGAAAATGCTTTCATAATAATTTTGCTAAGGGTTTGTTTGTAAATATAACAGCTACCCCGAAGCCAGTTCATCCGGGCTACGTCACGCCACAAGGTTATGTAGCACCAAACTCGACTTATATAGGGGGGGGATATCCCAATTCATCGCAACAAATCTATCCTGCACCGAATCAGGTAGATTCTACAAATCCATTTAATCAGCATACAGACCAACAACAAAATGTATATCAAGCACAGCAATATTATTCCATGGGTCAGCAAAATGGATATCCGCCAAATCAACAATCTCAATATGGGTCTCAAGCTCCGCAACAACCATATCAACAACATCAATATATGAACCCACAAGACCCTACACAGCAATATCATCAAATGCCACAACAACAACAATATATGAACCCACAGGATCCTACACAACAAATGCCACAACATCAACAATATATGAACCCACAGGATCCTACACAAGTTCCACAACAACAACATTATATGAGTCCACAGGATCCTGCACAGCAAATTCCACAACAACAACAACCATATATGAACCCACAGGATCCTACACAACAAATTCCACAACAACAACAACCATATATGAACCCACAGGATCCTACACAACAAATTCCACAACAATATATGAACCCACAGGATCCTACACAACAAATTCCACAACAATATATGAACCCACAAAATCCTACAACACAAATGCCGCCACACATGCCGCAACAAGCGCAATATAACCACAATATATAAACTAGGGATGGTAAAGTTAGTTTAGGGTTTGGTCTAGGTTCTAAAATATTTGGATTACCTAAGAATCAGGTTTTATATAGTAAGTTTCAAACTTGAGTGATTGGATTCAGAACCAAATCTTAAAACCTGGATCTCAATGTCTTGTTCATGAGAGATAAAAGGAATAAATATAGTTAACAGAAAAATCAAACCTTGAAAAAATGTATTTTTTGATCATCTGAATAACTTAACATGCTAATATTGATTTATTTAATAAAATTTTAACTTTATATATAGTGGTTGTAAAAATATACAATACGACTAGACATTGGAATGAAAATTTATACTATTGTTATAGATAGATAAATACTGTCAGCTATCGATATAACGGACTTCCTTACACCGGATTCACCAGTTTATGAATCAAATTTTAAATATCGAATTTTTAATAGGAAATTTATTAAGGTTATGACAGATTTAAGAGTATAAAGGCCATATTACGTATAACGGTAGGGCTGTTATCGGCTTGGATGGCTTGGCTTGGCTCCTAAAAGTCATGGCTCCAGCTTGAGCTATGACTATTGGGACTGTGGTTTGAGCCGTAACTTGAGCCATAGCTCAAACAGTAGCTTTCGTAGCTATGGCTCAAGCCGTAGTTTTAATAACTAGAAACGTGTATTAATCACATAATAATTATGAGTCATGGCTCAAGCCACAGCTCAAGCTATAACTCTAAGCTATAACTTGATTACGATTCAAGCTACAGCTCAATTGGCTTGGATCGGCTCAGCTCCATTATGCAGCTAGAGTCGATCTCAAAGAAGCCGTTAACAACCCTATATGAGTGCTGCCAAGGGAAAATGTCACTTCGGACTTTCAATTACATTTTGACCGGACACATTCTATTTAATTTATTAAGGATTGTGTCCGGTCAAAATGCAATTGAAAATCCGAAAGGACATTTTCCCTTGGCAGCACTCATATAACGGACATCTTCTCCAGTCCATATATCGATTTTATTATAAGAATTCTAATCTATAGAACGAATCCAATATAATGCAACAATCAAATGTTATCAATCACGTTATATAGACAACGAATATGCTATATAACGTTCCGTTATATCGATAGTTGACAGTATTAATAGAAATATGGACGAGTCTAATTATAACAGCCTGTCTTATTTGTAGCTATATATCGTATGTAGTGAAACGAATCGACAATCGATGAATCAAAATGTTAGTAAACCAACTCATCAACCAATCTATTATTATTTTAAACTATTGCTCTAATGAAATCAAAGTATTTTTTATTATATAATGTTATCTAATACCGTACAATCAACTATAATCAACTAATCGTAATTGCAACCCGAAAATGTGTACCAGGTTGCGCTCCGGATGATCATGTGACAGTCCGGAAATTAATATCGGAAAATTTTTGAAGTTTGATTGGGTCGTCTGGTTTGATTTCCGGTAATCACATGATCATCCGGAGCGCAACCTGGTACACATTTTCGGGCAATTACGATTAGTTGATTATAGTTGGCCAATCACATAATACCCGAGGTATTTTCATACGAAAGTTACAATCTGTATTTTCATGTATGTTTTATATAAAGTACGGTTTTACAAAAGTTTGGCCTGCATTATTGTACTATTTGATTTGAATGTATGATCCGAATTTTAACTCAAATCGCCGAAAATTTGATCACAGAAGCCATACATCATGTGATCAAAATTACAATTACTTGAAAATCCAATTTACCGAATCTTACGCAAAAATTACATAAATTACAGTAATTTCACAACCCTAATCATATATCCTCCACGGGTACTTTTAATTTAAAAAATGAAGTTCTGGAGTAAGACCTCGGGTAAGGCTAGTGCCAATCTGCAATTGCAAAATCTGCGCATAAACCTGACATTTATTGCGATATTTTGCATATCAGGGCTGACTTTGCATATACAAAAAATCTAAAAAAGAGCTTGTAATAGATTAGGGTGAACCCTGTGTTAACCCGCTTTGATCAGGGCGTCGTGTGTTAACGTGGATTTCATTTTTACTATATATTACGTGATTTTTGTAGTAGATTTAACCAGAATCTGTTGCAGGTTTCACCCTATTGTATTGTAGTTTTTCTCATAACTAAAGAACTAAACCTTTATGATAGCGATAGTCAACATGTTTTAA